GTCTTTTTTTAAATCCAATCTACCAGTCTATGTCTTTTTATTTGTGAGTTTAGGCCATTAACATTTAGGCTTATTATTGAGATGTGATTTGTATCACCAGTCATTTTTGTTATTTTTGGTATTTAGCTTAACTTGGTTTCTCCTTTGGTTGGTTTTTCCTTTACTGTAGTTCTTTCCTTTGCAGATTTTCATTATTGTTTTTCATTTCCTCCTCCTGGAATATTTTGCCAAGAATGTTCTGAAGTGCAGAGTTTCTTGCTGTAAATTCTTTTAGCTTTTGTTTATCATGGAAGGTTTTTATTTCATTGTCAAATTTGAAGCTTAATTTTTCTGGATATAAGATTCTTGGTTGGCATCAATTATCTTTTAGAGCTTGGTATATGTTGTTCCAGGATCTCCTGGTTTTGACAGTCTGGGTTAAAAAAAATCTGCTGAGATCGAAATTGGTCTTCCCTTATAGGTAATCTGATTTTTCATTCTTGTAGCATTTAAAAATCTATTCTTATTCTGTATGCTAGGCATTTTCATTATAATGTGTCTTTGTGTAGATCTGTTGTAATTTTATACATTTGATGTCCTATAGGCGGCTTTTATCAGATTTTCCAGTTCATTCTTTATGCTTGAGAAATTTTCTGATATTATTTCATTGAAGAGATTGTGCATTCCTTTTGTTTGAATCTCTGAACCTTTCTCTATTCCAATAAATCTTAAATTTGGTCTTTTGATGGTATCYCATAATTCTTGGATATTCTGTTCATGGTTTCTTACCATCTTCACTGTGAGGTCAACTTTATTTTCAGGATTGTATATTTTGTCTTTATTATCTGAGGTCCTGTCTTCCAAGTGATCTAGTCTGTTGGTGATGCTATCTGTTGAGTTTTTTAATTGTCTTATTGTTTCTTTCATTTCAAAGATTTCTGTTTGTTTTTTTTTTTCAGTATCTCTCTCTCTTTCTTGAAATAATATCTTGCAACCTCTGTGTTTGCTCTCCTGTCTCTTTGTTGGTGTCATTGATGGTTGCCTGTATTTGGTCTCTTATGTCTTTGTTGGAGTGATTGGTTTTTGCTTTTATCTGCTCACTTAGGTCGTTCTTTAATTCCCAAATCATCTTAGTTATGTATATTCTGAACTCCTTGTCTGACATTTCACTACTGTGCTATCTATGGATTCTGTTGTTGTAGTATCTTGGTTTGTTGGGGGCACTTTCCTCCCTTATTTTTTCATGATGTCTATGTATCTCTCTCTCTTGCAGTGTTATCTGAGGTATCATAGCTTCTGCCCTGTTGTCTTATAGTGTCCCTATAGGTTATCAATACCTCACTATTAAGGAAGAAATCAATATTACAGCACTCAGTGTACCCAACGTGCAGCCATATATCAGTTAGCTTCTATTTTTACATTTATAGTTTTGTCACTATAATCAGAAATGATGAGTTCGGTTATCTTCTACCATATAGTCAATAGGTTTGCTTAATGGTTTACAGTTTCTAGTGGAAGAAGGGGGTCTGGGGGGTTGGCTGAGATGTTTATGAGGTAGGATGTGAGAATATGGAGGTATTAGGTTATATGACTAGTGAGAGGGTAATTATAAGAAATTAGCTGTTAGTAGGAGAAACAAAAGATAAGCAACCCCATGCAAGACTCCATTACCTCAGCAACAGGATAACTGTTAGCACCCCTAGTAGAGAAACTTCTGGTGCAGCAGGCCCACAGGGACCTTGGTGACTTCTTACCAGGTCCTTATTGTTATCCCTTGATAGAAGCGGCAATATCTTGAAATTATATTTTACCACAACTTACTGTTGAAGAAGCCGGTTATTTGTCCCACGGAGTCTCCTGCAATGGATTTTGCTGCTTGTTCTCTTCACTGTTAACTGAGACTTTCTCTATCCATCCTATGGGTTTCCTCTGACCCAGACACCAAGCAGATTCAGGCAGTGGGTTTGTTTAGTTCTGTCTGTTCTGGTATGCTTTGGTCTGGTCTGTTTGTTCTGGTTCGTTTTTTATTCTGATTTATTCTGGTCTGGTCTGGTCTGGTTTGTTCTGGTCAGGTCTACTTTGTTCTGGTTTGTTCTGGTCTGGTCTCATTTGCTCTGGTTGGTTTGTTCCGGTTTGTCCTTTTCTGATCTATTTGGTCTGTCCTGTCTGGTCTGAGCAGGGCTGCTTGCCCCAGGAAGGATATAGTCTCTGGCTATCTGCTGTATTGTGATTCTGGCAGCCATTGAATGTCAACTAGGTCCAGTAGTTCAGTGGAGTTTGTAAACCATGTTGTTTTAACTATTATAGGTATTTCCTATTTCTTAGCCAGTGCCTTAGTCCATGAGAGCTGCTATAATAGAATGCCACAGATAGATAACTTAAAAGAAAATAAGTTTCTTTCTCAGTTCTAGAGCCTGGAAAGGCCAAGGCCAAGACATGAAATATGGAGCACTCCATCTCCACATTGGAGCTTAAATGCTGCCTCTTACCAAGGGGAGGGGTGCTGATATTCACATGGCAGAAAGCAGAAGGGCAAGWAGGACTCACTCCTTCTGCCAAGCCCTTTAATAACAGCATTGGCCTCATAAGCTGACACCTGCCCAGAGGACCCAGGCCTAGCACTGTGCATTGGAGATGATGCTTCCATCACACAATTCTGGGAGATGCCTTCAAACCAAAGCAGCCAGAATAATGCTATAAAGAAAGCTCCCCCATGTGCCTGCTTTTCTGTTGCCCAATGTTATCACTTATATAAGAGAGACAAGAGAGCTGGGGTTGTGGCTCAGCGGTAGAGCGCTCGCCTAGCATGTGTGAGGCCCTGGGTTCCATCCACAGCACCACATAAAAATAAATAAATAAAGATATTGTGTCCAACTAAAAAGTAAATATTTTAAAAAAGAATTTTAAATTTAAAAAAAAAGAGAGACAAGAAATGGGGGTTATTCCTCACCAATTTCATTCTGATGAATGAGTTCACAACTAAGTTTGCTCTTCTTTTTAGTATCGTGAACTTATGGAGTTAGGCATGTTGATTTGATTCCACTCATCAGTTATTTTTAGTATACAATTGCCACATCTTTGGCCAATGGGAATATCTTTGTATCAGCTCCTAAGTCCTTTAGACAAGGCCTTGGTGGTAGTTGTCCGCTCTCCTGGCCCTCTGGTCTGTGCAGTGTTGCTAGTCCATTGTGCTGTGTCCTTGAGACCTGATCAGCTTCCACCTTTTCCTTTGAGTGGAAGTACTGTTTGAGGGCCACCCTCTCAGAGATGGAGGTGCCTGCTGATGCTGGCCCCTCTGTTCTCTGGACAGAGTAAGGAAATCTAAGATAAAACAGGCTTGAGTTTGTATTCTTCCAGTTCATATTCAGGATGATGCAGTGAACTGCTTAGACCTTACTCTGTCCTTCATTACCCTCTAGGAGTACTGGGTTCATTGTCTCCACTCAGCAAAGAATTGAAGAACAGGACACAGAGAGAGCAAGCAAGCAGCAGGTTTATTCTAAAAGTGACAGAGATAGACTTTCTAAAGAGAAGGGGCCTCAGAGCTGGGTGTCTGGTGGGGGAGTTTTGGCTTGTTCTTTTTATGGTCTCTGGAATTTCCTCCTTTCCTCCCCTGTCCACATTCTTCTCACTGTTATTGATCGGTGCTCCTTCTGTCTACCTGTCTACTTCAGTTTTTCTATCGGATCCCCTGCTTACGAGCACAAGTACAGAAGTGTCTGTCTGGGCCTTGCTTGTGTTCACAAGCACTTTTGTTAACCAGGATATTGACCACATCAGAAGACCCTCTCCATGCTGCTTTGTTCTGGTCCTGCCTCTGACCTTCTCACTCACCATCTTGCCCTGGCTGCTTAAGCCCTTCTACATCTCCCTCACTTTCAACCTCCCAACCTGGTTATCAGCACCCAAAGTTGATAGTTAGGGGTGTATGACTCACCTGTGCCATCTCTGGCAGATATATGATCTCAGAAGTGTGAGACCTGGGCAGGTGGGGGTGGATCTGTGTTGTGCTTTTGTTTTGTTTTAGCTTATTATTAAATATATATACTGGAAGAAAACAAATAATAAAATCGTAGTGGAAAGTTCCTTCTAAGCACAACCCAGAAGCCATTGTTAAAGGATCAGTCAAGAAAATTAATTTGACCAAATGAAAAAGTCTGCACAGCCATAAATTACTACAATTAAAGTAAAATCTGCACAGAGTCACACTTGAGTATCCAAGAGACCAACACCTTGCTGGGCCATCGGGGTAGACTTCCTAGTGACAGAGGAAGACCTGCAGGCCTGTTCACAGCCTCTGGCGGGGAAGGGGCTGCTGGCTCTCCTTACAGATGAGAAAACTCAACCAGGCTGAATTTCTTCAAGTTTGTGCTGGACAGTGGCAGAGCAGGACCTGAACGAACCCTTGCAAGGAGCCAGCAGGATAGCCAGCTGCAGTGTCCCGACACGACACCCACCATCCTTGCAAGGAACCAGCAGGATAGCCAGCTGCAGTGTCCTGACACCACACCCACCATCCTTGCAAGGGGCTAGCAGCCTGGCCTGCTGCTGTTGGACTTGAAGACCTTTCATTACAGGCGGATGTCTTACAGCTCCAAGTCAAGGGTGACACCTGCTCAATAAATTCAGCCTCATTCTGATATCCCCAGGAGAAGCATCTGCTCAGGGGCCACTGAGAGAGCTGGGCCAGGGGGCCTAGAGAGAACCCAGAGTGTTCTGAAACTAATATAGTCAGGTTTAGTGTGGACTGTTGACATCACCAAAGTGACCACTCTTGGCCTATGCAGAACTGCCTGCCACCTCCATGCTCAGCCCTGCTCAGCAACTCATGCAGTACTGAATTGTTTGTTAGTCTCTCCCAGGAAGGTGTCATTCAGTAGATTTTTTTAACACACAAAGCAAGGATGTGGTTTCTATGTGAGTCTATGGTGAATGTTTTGAAGAGATGTGTGATTTGTAGAAGGCCAAATTCAAGAATGCATACCATCTCCCTGTCATTTAGAATGTTCTCTCTTCTCTAGGGGACATCCGACACCCAAAGCGTGTCCAGCAGACTGATTTGGCTGCAACACTGGCAATTGGACTTGGTTTGCCAATTCCTAAAGACAGTGTGGGGAGTCTCTTATTCCCAGTTGTAGAAGGGAAACCAGTGAGGGAACAACTGAGATTCTTACACCTGAACACAGTGCAGCTCAGCAAGTTGCTGCAGGAGAACATGCCATCTTATGAGAAAGGTAAGCTAACTGGCAGTTCCCAGCCTCTGAGGTCACCATCTGTGCCCCGTGTTCCCATGTGCTTTGTGCTGTGCATTGTGGTCGTCATGGGCTACTTTGTGTCTCACGCTCTTCCAGCCTGTCTCTGCCTTCCTGACCCTCAGAACCTCACCTGTCAGCCTCAGCCCCCACAGATGTATCATCTAGGTGTGGTTCCTTCATAACCGTATTCATTCTGCTAACATTCACCATGTTCTTCTTATAAGCCAAGGAGTGTTAAAGGCACTGGAGATAAGCACACATGGCACAAGGTTTCTGTCCTCACAAAACCTTCCAGAGGGAGGAAAGAAAAGTACCATGGTAGATGCCAGATGGCTACCTTGAGAAAGAATGCACAGGGAAGGGGAGTGCAGGAGTGGGTGCTGGCGACACAACTTACCTTTGAGTAGCTGCCCAAGAGGGAGCCCCACAGGCTGAGGAGACCAGGTGCTGCAGCAGGGACATCAGAGAGATAGGGGGGCCCACTGGGCATCGGAGGGCTTTGACTTTTATTCTGGGTAAGGTGGGGGGCACTGCAGGGTTTTGCACCAAGCCCAGAATCTTGGGCCTGTGTTTTCCAAGGCTCTCAGGAGAAAATGAGTCAGAAAGCAATTGCAGTGCTCTGAGGAGAGAGGAGGCTGCCGGTGGCAGTGGAGTCTGGGAGAAGCAGTAGAATCTGGGAGAAGCAGTTACACTGTGGATGTTTTGAAGGGAGTGAAACAGGATTTGCTGGAGCACTGGGATACAAGGTCATAGAAAACCCATGGGAAGGATGGGCCTCTGTTCTCAGCATGGCAGTGAAAGGGGGCTATCATGCACTGCTGTGGGCAAGAGTTTGACAGGAGCAAGTTTGCAAGGCAGGGTCGTGGGGCACAGTGACCAGGAAGCCATGAACAGAGTTTCATGAGGAAGCAGTGGGCAACTGTGTCAACTACTGGGAACTGACTGCTGACCTGGCAGTACAGGCTCATCAGGACCTGCAGACCAGCTCAACGGGATACTGGGGAAGCCTGGTTGGGGTGGTACAGGTGAGGACAACCGAAGGTGAGCAGGGAAATGGACTGGGTTGATGTGGGGCTGAGAGCAAGTGTTTTCAATTTAAGCCAGAGCTACAAAGGATGTTTATGTGCCAATAGGAATGGTCCTGGGAGGAACAAAAAATTTTAAAAACAGTCCCTGGATAAGAATGTGCCTTCCTGAGGCCCTCTGTAGATATTTGAGTTTTGTTTTGTTTGTTTTTAGAGCATTAGAGTTATACACAGTAGTTGGATTCATTTTGACAAAATCACATATGCATGGAATTTGATTTATTCCATTTCAGTCCCAGGTGCCCCCTTTTCTCCCTCCTTCTGTTCCACTGATCATCCTTCCTCTCATTTATTTATTTTTGGTTGGTGTTTTCTACCTACACATACAGGTAGAATCCTCTGTGGTATACTGACATATGCATATAGCATGATTTTGTTAAATTCATTCCTCATTTTCTCCCCTTTCCCTTCCCTCCTCCCTCCCTCTCAATCTCCCTCTTCTACTCCATTGGTCTTCCCCTATATTTTTATGATATCCAATCCCCACCCCACCTTTTCCCCTTATTTTTCTTTAGCTTAAGCATATGAGAGAAAATATTTGACCCTTGATCATCTGAGTCTGACTTGTTTCACTTAGCATGATGTTCTCCAGTTCTGTCCATTTGCTGAAAAATATCATAATTTTATTTTTATGACCAAGTAAGATTTCATTATGTGTATGTACCACATTTTCTTAATCCACTAATCTGTTGACGAGCATCTGGGCTGGTTCCATAATTTGGCTTTTGTGAATTGCATTGCTATATACATTGATGTGGCTATGTCACTGTAGTATGCTGATTTTAGACTTTTTGGATAAATACCAAAGAGTCAGGTAGCTGGGTCATATGGTAGTTCCATTCCTAGCCCTTTGAGGAATCTCCATACTGCTTTCCAGAATGGTTGTTTGAGTTTGCAGTCCTACCAACAGTGTATGAGTGTACTTTTCCCCCTACATCCTCACCAGCATTTATTATTATTTGTAATCTTGATCATTGCCATTCTGACTGAAATGAGATGAAATCTTAGTGTAGTTTTGATTTACATTTCCCTGTTTGCCAGGGGTGTTGAACATTTTTTTATAATTTGTTGAATTGTATTTTCAAATGCTTTACTCTGCCACGTCCAGGCATATCAAACACCAACTCGCCTGACCCCAGGCCCCATCTGGAGTCTAGAGAAGGTGCCTCCAGTTTGAGGCAGCACTTGACCTGATGTTAGCAGGTCTTCCTCTTGGAGGTTGTGGGGTGCTGCCAGCAGCAGGTGACACTGTGAGTGTCACATGTAGAAGACAGGCCTTGCAACTGGGGACTGGCCAGGAGCCACAGGCAACAGGGCGGGAGGACCTGCTGAGCCAGCGCATAGCCATGAGGTGTCTAGGGAGGAGCTTCTTGCGGGTGAGGCCTGGGCAGCACACATTTCAGTCCAGACCAGACCCAACTATTACTTTTGGTTGTTTGTTTTTATTTTTTCCCAAAATAGTTTTTATTAGCATGATAGTTTTTCATATTTATTGTGTTAATATGTACCCTTTCTCCTGCACTAGAAAAAACACCAATGAAAGCAAGAGACAACGGAAGCATTGTTTGCCTATTTCAGAAATATCAGGGTAGGAGAAATGGAGAGCCAGAGTGAGTAGGGGAAGAGATGTCCCTGTCAGACAAACTCAGGACGGCCCCTGGAATGAGGAAACATCCCTGGGGTCCTACACCCCCAAGAAGCCTGTGTCCACACTGTCCATGCATGTGCTGACACAGAAATGGTATAGCTCTCAGCAAAGCCTATAGAGACCCACTTTACCCATCCTGTCCTTGGGCAGTCTTTCCACTCTTGTGGGACTGGCTGTTCCTTGCCTCAGGATCTTTGCACATGCCTGGGATCCTTAACTTTCAGCTTACAAGTCAGACTATCCTTCCCCCCCCCCCCCACTTACAATCTTAAATCAGTTCCTCCCCATTACCAGAGGTCTTGCATTATACCATCTGCTTTTCCTTTGCAGCATTCTTCTCATTATATAAGGGTGTGTGTGTGTGTGTGTGTGTGTGTGTGTGTGTGTGTCCCCTACAGAATCCTGCCAAGGAAGCAGGAATTGTACCTATTCACTCACCATGTGTCTTACCAAACATACTACCCTTGGCCTATAGTCAGGGCTCAGGAAGTGTTTGTTTGGATAAATGAACAGGTGGCCCCATGTCTCTGTGATTCCTAGATGGGGACGTTGTGGGGTATAGACACAGGTGCCTGTGTTTCTCTCTCTTAGAGGAACTGTGGACACAAGTGGCCCACTTCAGGGTGGGAGGTGCAGCATCTTGTTGCCAGCTTTGGAGTTTCACCCTTAGTTCAGATTTCTACTCCCACCGCTCTGTGAGTAGCAGGTGATGTGCCCTCTGTCTTAGATGCTGCCTCTGGAAACAGGCATGATGCTCACATGACACTCCCAGCTCATTGCTATGGAAAACAAAGAATAAGTTGCTTGGCGTGGTGCTGGCCATTGCCTCTTCCAAGTCACATCCTCCAGCTCTCCCAGGTTGGCTTGCAGGCCTCAGGGTACACGTCTGGGGCTTGTGCCACAGGCTCTAGACTTCAGCAGCTAATGGTCACTTGCTGGGCAAGGCCCAAGGTGTGCTCACAGAATCCCTCAAGCTCAGTGTCTGATTGGGGAGCCTGATGATAGGTACACTAAGACTGCCTTCCAGTGGCCCTTCTGGAGCATGAAGACTCAGAGAGGAAGTTCTTGGTCACTAGTAAGTGTGATCCAGCAAAGACTTTGCTCAGCCAGCTCTAGAAAAGGGCCATGTCAGCCTTGGTCTCCAGCAGACATGAGGCTGGGTTCTTTGGGGAGCTGGCATTCCTTGTAGGCTGCACCACTGGCCATCCTGAGCAGGGACAGGCCTCAGTGGTGCTAGTGCAAGGACAGAGGGCCAGCCTTTGCTGGGGAGGTAGGCATGGTGGGCTAGGTCCCCACACACACTGCCAAGACAAGCATTCTGCAAAACAGGGCCTGTCAGTAATGCACTTCAGGGTAGTTTTAATACTGCACGAGAAGAGTGGAAAGAGACAACAGGGAGGAAGGGAAAAGGCAAGTGAGGGAGGTGAAGAAGGAATCCAGGCGGAGCAGCAGCAGACATTTCTGTCACTGTGTGTGCTGATGACCTAGGCCTGACAGTGCTGATAATGGACACACACATTTCCTCGGCTTTCTCAGCCCCTCCCCTAAAGGGACAGAGAGGTATCTGTCCTAAAAATGTGCCAAGAAAAACCGAATACTCTGGAATTGTGTCTGTTCTGACATGTGTGTGTGATCTTTTGGTTCTCTTGCTAGATCCCGGATTTGAGCAGTTTAAAATGGCAGAAAAGTTGCATGGGAACTGGGTCAAACTACACTTGGAGGAAAACCGTTCAGACATCCTGCTCAGCCTTGGAACCAAGGTGCTCAGGCAGTACCTGGGTGCACTGAAGACCTTGAGTCTGTCTCTGAGCACACAAGTGGCCCAGTACGATATCTACTCGATGGCAGTGGGGACTGTCGTGGTTTTGGAGGTATGGATGTTCATGGAGCCATGGCTCAGGGGCTAAATTTGTTTGGTAACTCAGCCAAAATATGACAGTTCAAAATATATATAATAAGGTTGTTGCTAAACAAGAAAACTGAATTTTTCAACCCTTTTGTTTTGTGCCTTGACTTKGACACAAAGCAGTGCATGCAACAGGTGTCTACCCTCAGTGTTGCCATGGGAAGAGAAATAATAAGGCATGTGGTTTGGGTAGACAGTTAAAAGTAATCCTTCAGTGGGCTCTTCTGACCTTGCTGTATGAGCAGCTGATGAGCTCAGAGGGTTGCCACCCGGTCACAGAAACCACTGGTGTTTTTCTGTTCCAGGTTCTCACCCTGCTCCTCCTCAGCACCCCACAGGCGCTGCGCAGAGGGGCTGACCTGGAAGTTCCTCTGCGGTCTCCTGTGTTTTCTCTGCTCTTTTATTTGGTATTCCTAGTTCTTTCTGCCATTCATGTCATAGTATGCACCTCAGCCACAAATTCCTGCTACCTCTGTAGCCTCCCGTGGCTGGTGGCAGGAGGGCTGATGGTTCTGGTTTCCGCACTGCTCTGTGCAATTGTCTCCACTCTCACCAGGACTGTCATCGAGAGCACTCTCCTGAGGAAGGTAGGCTGTATCCATGTACGCTCTTGTTATGTCGGCCAGACTTCCAGTCATCAGACATTGGTTGAACACCTGGCATGTACCAGTATAATTCTGGTAGGGCAGTTCCCTGGGATAGCCACATACCAAAGGGGTTAGTTGGGAAGGACCTCAGCAGCCACCCAGACCTCTGGCATCTTGACTGCCAGGTTATGGTTGTAGTCAGGTCCCAGCCCTTTATTCTCAGTTGAGAAAAAAGGTTTCCTGAACTGGGGAGGAAGTAGAAGCAGAGCTGCTACACAAGGATGGGGAGTGTGAGTCTGAGTCCTAGTAGGCCCTTGCCCTGTGGCTGAGGGACAGTCTCAGGTAGACACACAGGATGGCCCTGCTCATCTGGTCAGCCTCACCAAGTGCAGTTTTCTTTTCAAGGCTGACATTTTCCTTTGCAATTCTTAGTCTCTGGTTTGGCACCTTTGTTTGTGAGCTTAGAGGTGGTGACAGGAAGAATGGATAGTTGCAGTTGGGTCCAGAGTGCCCTGTGCAGAGACTCCAGCCCCATCCCATGCAGCTGCCATCCCTCCTTGCAGGGGTCTCGGAGGCCCTCTGCTGTGTCTGGGCCCAGGCACTCATGTGTCCCTAGGGCATGATGGTCTTCATCCACAGCTGCATCTCCAGGGCCTGGCTGGGTGACTCTCCCTGGGTACCTCACAAGCAATGGTTTCAAAAGAATGCGAACAGTTGCGCCCTCATCTTGAGCTGTCTTTGGCCAGCCTGCTTCATGGATAGTACTGTGTGCCACCCTTGTCATCTTAACAGAAACCATTGTAGTGGGGATCATGGAGTTCTGGAAATTCACGGAGAAATTAGATGTCTGGTTTAAGGAATTTATCAGGGTCCTTTGTTTTTGAACAACAGGAACTGGCATGGAAGCAGGAGCAGGAGGGCTGGGTCAGGAGCCACTGGCCAGTGCTTCAAGCTCTATCACTGCCCAGAGAGCCCAGGTGCTTTCAGTCTCTGCCACCGAGCTTATGACTTAGAGTCCAGGGTGAGGACAACTGGCCGGCCATATGGTGTCAGTGTCCCAGAAGCAGGGGAGGGGTCTTCCAGAATGGGCAGCAGGCACTGGGCTGAGGACCAGCAGGTGTCTGTCACAGGGGGTTCTTCACTGTGAGTGAGGATTTTAGCACATGCAGAAAAATACATGTCATTTTCAGATTACTACGGAAAATGCATTTTCTCCTCACAGAATGCAGCTCTCCCCAGCTCCAGGTGGTCAGAGATGGACCTTCTCCTGATGCTGGGCACAGCAGGCCATGTCCTGAGCCTGGGTGCCAGCAGCTTTGTGGAAGAGGAACATCAGACCTGGTACTTCCTGGTCAATACCCTGTGTCTGGCTCTGAGCCAAGAAACCTGCCGTAGCTGCTTTCCAGGAGATGACAGCAAGCCTCAGCACAGTGTCCACATGCTGCAGGATAGTGCAGTCTACAGAGCCCCCATACTCCACAGAGCAGGCCATGCCTCCCCCTCCTCAGAAGCACTTGGGGGCCACACACGGTGGGCTATCCTGGCAAGCCCCTGGCTGGTGCTGGCCTGTTGCCGATTGCTACGGTCCCTGAACCAGACGGGAGTGCAGGGAGCCCACAGGCCTGACCTCGGCCTCTGGCTCACCAGGTAAGCATGAGCCTCAGCTATGGGCTAGACCCTCTGTAGGTGATGGTCACACACTAGGTCTTTTACATTTAGGCCTGTTTTATCTTACGAATAGGATAATGTAAGGAATCTAAAGAAATGAGCAAATGTAACTCAGGAACGAGTGTTGAAAGGTGGCCTGATAGGTTTTCGGTGCTGAATCACAGATAACTGATCATGATTAAGACCCTAAATTCTAGAGTGACTGCTCCTAAGATATGACTCTAGGTTGAGCTCATAGTGCTGCCTGGGACAGGAAGGATGAGGTCAGCTGGGCAGGGGGCTGGGGCCTCTGCTGCAGCCCTGCCCTTTGTAGCTCCTTCTTCCTCTTGTCATTCCTCTTTCTCCATCCGGGAGGACAGAGCATGTGACGATGGTCAGCACTATGAGCCTCTTACTGTGGCTGGAGAGCACAGAGAAAGTGAACTATAGCATTTAAAGTAAGGATGGTACACACGAAGGAAACTGAGGCAGAAGTCAAGATGGCTCTTTTACTGGGGTGCTAAAATGGACAAGAACAGCAGGAGGAGCAGACGGTGACCATCTGCTCAATTCATGGACCTCATAACTGCATAATACAGCAGCAGTGCTGCTCCTCTGGGGCCCAGGGAGTTTCAGGCTCACATCTCAGGTTATCTTGCACCTGTGATGATGAAGCCCAGCTTGAGCACAGGTGAGCCGAAGAACCCTGGCCCCACATGGCCTCTCCTTTGGGATTCCCTAGTGCTGAGTCAGCAAGTTGCGTGTTCCAGCAGACCGCTGGTGTCTGCCTGTGTCCCAGAGCAGCCCTGGAAGTGAACGCCCAAGCTGGAGATTAAGGAGCAGGGCTAGAGAGAGGCCAGGCCACTGAGCCCGACTCTGTGAAATTCCTGCCCCAGAAGAGCACAGTGACACCCCCACTTCGTATTTTCTTGGGAAATTGACGCATTGGAACAGTCCTGGCATGTTGTTGGCCTGTCATCTCAGGCATGGACATGCTGCCGCTTGCCTCCTGAGCTGTCCTTGCACTGTCCGAGCATTCCTGTTGGTGGTAAAGAGGCAGCAGCATCCTGTTGGAATGGCCCCTGCCTTCTGTGTGGTGGTGTGCCGCAGTGCAGAAGAGCACCCGAGATGGTGGTGCAGTTCAAACCAGGCGACCCCAGGAAGGTCCACAGTGCTGACCATCCTCCTGACTTGACACTGCTACATCACTCCTCAGATTTCTGAAGTCTTTTCCCCTTTCTGTGTGTGCCTTGGAAGAAAGTTACTCATCCATTTTACCACTGCTGCCAGTCTGAGCTGTGTGAGTATGAGCTGTGTACCATGTACTCTGTGTACCATGTGCTCTGACCACTCCTCCTCACCCAGGAGACTGTGGGGTGGCAGCCTGTGAGTTCATCTGTGTGAGTGAGCGGCACAGGCCAGGAGAGGAGGGTCCAGGGGACTGGGACCGTGTGCACCTCTGAGTCCATCTGTGAGGGCAAGGGAGACTTCATCTTGGCAGTCTTATTTGTAACGTTTGAAGAACCTTTGTTTGAATTTGAACAACCAGCCTTTTTTTTTTTTCCTCATCAGGAAAATTAGCTGTTTTTACATAGCTATCATTACTATGAGACTCAGAGATCACTAGTTTGGTAATGATTCTGCATTTTCTGTTTCATTTCAGCTCTGACCATAAGGTGGAGCTCTCTGGTCTGGCCGCTCTCTCCCTGCTGGTGATCTTCTTGTTGGTTCAGAGAGGGTGCTCCCTGGTGTCCAGAGCAGCTTTGGCACTGGGGCTGCTGGGTGTTTTCTGCTACAGGGCAGCCATTGGGAATGTGCTGTTTCCATGGCAACCAGGCAACAAAGGCTTTTCAAAGTAAGTGCACTGGACACGTGAGAACTTGATTTTAGAAGTATCTTTGTATTTTATGGTAATTTATGTCCTAAAAAATGCCATGCCAATCTTACACCACTAGGGCTTGGTTTTTGTGAATGGTGATTCCATCAACAGCTGCTAGAGCTTACCAAACCTTAATGAACTACTCTGTTAATTCTTTTAGGAGAGAAAGAAAACTTGGAAATAAGGTCATTGAGATATGACTGTAGAGATGAGAGGGTGACAGTGAGTGCTGCTCCTCAGCAGGCGGGAAAGGAAGCAGAGAGCCTCGTAATTTACAGTGTGCTCCCAGAGGGCCAGGAGCTCGTGCTACGCCTATCAGGAGCACTCAGTCACCACTGTTTCCACCTGCTGGTGGCCACTCCTGCTTGGGGGTATGGTGGTACAGGCTGTGCCTACTCCTGAGGGGTGGCAACCATAGCTACCCCTTTGACAGGCTGTCTTTCTTCTTAAGCAGAGGGCAGGAGGGACGGAGAGGCAGGCAGGCTCCCTGAGGCATCCCTTACAGCTGCGAGAGTCAGGACAAGGCAGCTGTCTGATGAGAGTGGTGACCCTCACAGTTCTATGGAAGCTCTCACGCAGGACACTGTGTACCAGCAGTCTGTAAAACTGTCATATGACCCCAACAAGTGTGTTTCACTTTTCATATTTATAAAAGACTGAAATAAAATATTGGTAATTATATTTAGAACCTGAGGTCATAGGTAGATTGTAATCTTCCTTTCTACGTATTATTAAAACTYATGTGTGTCTAGAATTCACAAGTATGGCTTCTCTAATTAAGCAAAGGTCCAGCTCTGAGCAGGGGTCGTGGCGGGGCTATGCAGGTGGTTGTGGGGTTCGGGGGCATTCCAGAAGCACGTGCTGACAGAAATGGTATTGAGGCAGTGCCTGCTGGCAGGGGGCAGCAGCATGGTAGGGCTTCCTGCCCCAGAGGCTGGGGAGGTTGGAGACACCTCAAAAGCTGTTGGCTTCCCAGTCTGAGACCTGGCAGACTTCCAGGCTGAACACTGTCACACAGTGCAGTATGTGAATGAGTTCCTCGTTTCTTCCCAGGTTTATGTGCCTGATGTCAGCATCTCTCACTTCCAGACTTCAACCACCTTGCCTTGTCTTGCCTGCTATCTGCAGCATGTCCTTTGCTGGTGTCCAGAACATAGCCAGTGTGCCTTTTCTTACTTTCTTTTCTTTATTTTTTAGTTGTAAACAGACTCAATACCTTTATTTTATTATTTATTTTTGCGTGGTGCTGAGGATTGAACCCAGTACCTCACACATGCCAGGCACGCGCTCTACTACTGAGCCACAACCCCAGCCTGCCAGTGTGCCTTTTATTTCAGTGTGCTTCCTATAAAATGCATCCATCCCTCTGCCCATCTGTCCTGCTTCTGAATACTTCCTGGTTCCGGATCCACCTGGTTCTGGATCTGCTATGGTTCTAGATTCATCCAGTATTCTAAGATCCCTTGCTTTTGGTACTTCACTCTCTTCTCCACTCAGAAGCCAGGCTTGGCTGGAGTGTGAGGTCAAGCAGGGTAGTCCTGGGGGTGCCAGAAGCACTGATTACCAGAGCGAGGCAGGTCCATGGGAGATGTCCAGTGACACCTCCCTCCTGTTCACCACCAGCAGCTCTGTCATCTTGTCCTCAAGCAGGCCCTCTTCTAGTCCCTCTTTCTCTTTGAAACTTCTTCAGTGGTTCTGACCTCAGAACCCACCTGGACTGTTCTCACTTTCGTCTTGGCCTGGGCATGGCAGGACACCTAAACTCAGCTGTCCAACCAGGGCCATGTAACAGGCACATGGTACACAGTGCCCACACCGTTTGGATTAAAGCATTCAAATTAAAAAATGAATATTTTTAAGGCATAAACATTTCTAAGAAAACCTAACATAGGAACTCATTTTTCAAAACTGATATTATGTTGGTATTCACTTAAAATTTACTTAGTTAGCATTATTTTAAATGATCAGCTTTTTTAGTTTATATAAAATATATATGTTTTAGGAATATATGTGGCATGGTGGCACGTGCCTTTACTCCCAGAAATTCAGGAGGCTGAGGCACAAGAGTCACGAGTCTAAGACCAACCTGGGCAACTTAATGAGACCCCCAACTCAAAATTAAAAAGGGCTAGGGTAGAGTTCAGTGGTAAAGCATCCCTGGATTCCATCCCCAGTTCCTCAAAAAAAAGTAATATATGTTTCATAAGATGAAGTTCTCACGTATGGTGTCATAAATTATATCCTTTATAGATTTAAATGAAGCTCTCAAGTACTTTGTTCATCATAGCACTTAGTATGTATCAAGTGTTTACTATCTGCCAAACACTTTATATGCTCTCTGTTGCTAATTGCTAGGACAGGCATGTAAGTTTTTGATGCTGCTCTGTTCTTTCCACAAATGGCAGAGCTGAGTGTCGAAGTCAAAAACAGAGCTAGTAAGCAGCAGAGACAGGACTGAGTGGCTTGGACCATGGTACATTTTCCACATGTGTACATATAATTGTGCAGATCCTCGTTTAGATTTGCCTTACAGTGACACGCTCAGTCGCACACTTAGCATTTGTGACCTTGTAGACATTCCTGACAGCTGGGCTAGCACAGAGGATTTCAGTTAACGATGCAAAGCAGGTAGGTGGCTTTTCTGGTATGCTGCAGGGGTGTGGCTGTGGTCTTGCAACCAGGTGATCCTTGGACCACATGAGCAAGACTTCACCAACTCCATAAGGAAGGCACACATCAGGCTGCCCCTTGCAGGAAGATGGTGGAGGTGACATCCCTTCCACAAGGGTGTCACAGCCCCCTTAGCTGGCTGGGCACATTCAGGCACTCCCCAGTTATATGTGTTTTTCATGAGAAAATATGTATTTGAATTTTTCTAGCTGGTATGAATGAATTAACTTGTTTTGCTCTTTTTTTAGGGGTATTATTGAAGCTCGTTTTGTTTATGTCTTTGTCCTTGGCATTCTGTTCACGGGCACCAAAGACTTGCTTAAATCCCAAGTCATTGCTGCAGACTTCAAAATCAAGACTGTAGGTTTGTGGGAGATATATAGTGGATTAGTTCTTCTGGCAGCATTGCTCTTGAGACCACATAATCTTCCGGTATTAGCCTTTAGTCTCTTGATTCAGACTGTAATGACTAAATTCATCTGGAAGCCTCTGAGACATGATGCAGCTGAGATTACTGTAATGCATTATTGGTTCGGTCAAGCATTCTTCTATTTTCAGGTAGGTTGTTGTTATCTGGGTAGAAGACTATTAACTTTCAACGTCATTTAATCTTTTAGTTTTCTTTGAGAAAATTTTACAAGTTGTAGAGTGATATTTGTTCAGTGGAAGAATTGTCAGTATGCATGATGAATTATGCTTCAATTTCATGTGATACTTTAAGAGTAGAGTACAGCTCCAAGGTGTGGATGAATGGGTGTAAGACAAGATTGCTGCTTTGCAGGGTCAGGGGGTCACCTAGTACCGACAGTCTAGGAGGCGGGTCTGCCCTTCACTGGCTTCAACAGTTAGTCACTGTGCTTCCTCATCCCTTTACCCTTGGTATTGGAGCTGTCCACCCTGGGGCCTGAAGGATGGTCAGGGCATCTCTCCAGTGTTCAAAGACCCATCAGCAGCAGGCCAAGCCCACTTTGGGTATGCAGGGGTAGGACAGCTCCTGGACAGGGGGCTAGCCTAGGAGGGATCCAGTTCCACCAGCCTCCTGGGATCCCCAGAGCAGGTGCCACCTCTCCTCTGATCCCCTCCCAACTCAGTTCCCTGACTGATCAGCTACGGGACATCTCTCTGTCTCCTCCATCAGCCTCCCTATGTCAAACAGACCCAGAGGCTCCCAGAGGCTTGTCTGGCTGTGTGTCCCAACAGGTCAGCCTCTTCCCCAGCCTCCTCTGCTCTTGGTTTCCTGTGCTCCCAGCATTACCTGGGGAGCAACCCACAGCTGAATGGTTTGTCTCTGTTTGACCTCAAAGCCCAAGGGTGGTAGGTGAAATTAGAGAAATCTTTTAAGTCCTTGTGTAGCATGACCAGATGGAGACCATCATGCTGTAGAGTTCCCTGGCCTCCCAACTCTCTCAGCCCCTGGTCACTCACTCCATATGCCAGCTAAGCTTCCCCACTGTAGACTCTGCTCCTGTGGAAGGCAGGGGCCCCTGGATGCCAGCATAGGGGTCCTTAATAGAACGCAGATAGCCGCAGGCACAGATGCTAATATCCAGCACTTCCCACCCGGTAACTTCTGGCAAGCACCTGCTTCACCTTAGTTTCCTTATCTATAAGCTGGGGACAATGTATAGTGCCCTGATCCGGGTTGTAGTGCGGCCAGGAGCTTAGTTGTGCCTGGCCCTGGTACTGAACATTTATGATGCTGGTTGAAGAGACAGCTTCTGGAGCACACTTTGCTCCAGGTTTGGCCCAGCTTCCACAGTGTGGCAGGAGGCAGCATGGGGCAGCAAGCAGTGCCCTCTGAGCTCTGCAGGCCATACCACTAGTGTTTCTGCACCAGGTACCCCCCTGTGCTGGGCTCCAGGCCTCACACTGACAGCCAGAGGAGTCCCTAGCTACCCTCCTGCTGTCTTCTTGTCCTTCTGTTCTCTGCCCCTCACTTCCCTCCCTGACCTTCAGGTTGAGCTTCTTTCCCTTCACTGTCAGGTTTCCTGGGAGAAGAGTCAGAAGCTTTGCTTCTCTTGCATCCTTCTCTGAGCCCTGCGTTTCCTCCACAGCATGAGGATGGGAACATGGGTGTCCACTTGTGCCGGGTCCTGGTCTCTGTCTCAGTTTCCTCCCTGTGCACCGCATCAGCATGGTTGAGGGTTATGAGTTCATACAAGTAGAGCTTTAGCACGTGCAGCCTAGCTGCTGAACCACGAGGTCAGCCCTCTCTGCAGACTGATGCTGTTTGGGGGCTGCCATCAGTCTTCCAGAGCCAGACCTGCTCCTGTCCAACCAGGCCTCCTGCCCCTCATCCTCCCTCGTGCTTCTTTCCCATGGAAGCCCCTCCCCACTGCCCCCACCAGGAGTTAGGGAACAGCTCACTGTGAGCAGAATGAGTTTCAGGGGAAGATGTACTGTGGCGTCTGCAACAGGTATGGCCTCACACAGGTGAGCAGGGAGTGAGCAGTGCATACCTCTGCCACAGGTGTTCCTGGAACCACACCTGCCAAAGGATGAGGGAGTGGGTTTGGGACACCCAGTCAGGGCTCAGGTAGGCAGTTCCAAGAGGGGCCTTGGGTGCGCCTTGTGGACGCAAGTGTGCCACAGACCATATGCTTCCTCAGCGTCTGAAGAGGGTCCTCATGACACAGAGATGGAGGGTCATCACTGCCAGCAGACTGACAGTAAAGTAGCAGAATCTTGGCAGATCCACTTTTTGATCCAAAATCCCATAGCAGGATGAGCTATGTGGCATTGTCCCCCATGTCCCATATCTTATGACCCACCAGGGCTGGGCTACAACCAGCCAGAATGTGGGCAGCAGTCAGAAAAGCCACCCTCAGTAGCAGAATGTTTCCTCCCAGAGCAGTTGGCCCACTCTGCCACATGATTCAGCAGTATCCATCAGGACCCACTGTATAGACAGCACTTGACCTCCAGCCCAGTGTCCCCTCAGACAAGCTGGGCAGCTGTGCCTCACAGGGCCACATGCATCACCTTGGAAGGCCCTTGTAGGACATCCACACATGACCTTGATACATGGTCAGCCTCTGGGTCTGCCAGAGGTGTGGGTATGCTTCAATAGCCAGCAGACTGGCCTGTGCCAGTGGCACAAGACCTAGTACTCCACTCCTTCCTCCTGGGCCTATATCATGTGGCAGGCAGATGGACAGGTCACCCACAGCCAGCCTAGTGACCTGAAGAAATGGCAGGCAGTTGGCGCTCGCCAGAGCCTCTGGCTCTTCTGACTGTGTGTCCACATTGGTGTGTTCATCTGAGCCGTACGTGTGTGTGTTTCACGTTAACATAGTGGTGGTTGGTGTCTGTATTGCTAAACCAGTGTCAACCCTGTTCTCCTGTGTTCCAGGGAAACTCCAACAACATTGCCACCATTGACATCTCAGCAGGCTTCGTGGGCTTAGATACCTATATGGAAATTCCAGCCACATTCCTGACAGTGTTTGGAACATATGTGGGGCCTGTGCTGTGGGCCAGCCACTTGGCACACTTCCTGAGCTCAGAAGCAAGCAGGTGAGGTGCTTTCTCTGTCTTCTAGCATAAATCTAATGGCAGGTTGCCTGTTCTTAAAAGTGAAACTTATTCTGGATAAGGGCATCAAAACCCCAAGGGTTAGACCATCTTTTCACAGATTTTCTTTTCCTTAAATAAGCAAAGTTTGTAGCTCAGAGTCCTGGGTGGGTCTGAGGCTCTGTGGGCCAAGTTCAGGTCTCCTAGTTCAAACCACACAGTGGAAATTTCTCTTGCTTGTTGGTATTGGGAGGGAAGCTAGTTCTTCCCCTTGGGGGCAAGAAGACAAAAGACGGTGGCTCTTGGCTTCCAAAAGCCCTACCACAAGGAAAGGCCCCAGAAGGGGCTGCCGCCCATACAAGAGGCTGAAGCCAAGCAGGGAGAGTTCAGAGACAATCGCACACCAGCAAGGCCCTCCTGGGGGATTTGCACACATGTGCCTCCCACCTGCACAGCATGCCCTCACCCTTCCCTGCCTGTTCTCTCAGCTGCAGCCCTACCTCCTTAGGATTTGCTGTTTCCTCCTTACCTGTGGATTTGTGCTCAGTTCCTCCCTGACAGGAGGCTCCATGGATCTGGCCTTCGCCAGCTTGTTCACCAGGCAGCCTCACTGCTGGGTAGCCCGCCTGATGGAGTCAGCCACAGCAGAGCGTGGGCAACTTGTTTCTGAGTCCCCCAGGGTAGCCAGAGGGCCGCCCATAAAGCTGTTAGACTCGTCTGTGCCTGGTTTCCCCATCCGTAGAACAGAGGTTGCTTGGGGCAGGAGAGGGAGTGTGGCATCACTGGGAAGTGCCCCTGTCCCTGGTCTGCAGACGCACAGCTTGCTCCATCTGCAATCCTGGTCCCAGGTGCTTGTCCACTCACTAAGCCATATAGCCAGCAGCACTACACTTGCCTCCCACACACTCTGGTGGACACACCAGGTCAGCCAAAGCCTCACTTTGACCAGTGGCCCCAACACTCATGTGCCCTGCCAGTCTTTCTGGTGGGGCTTCCGCATCAGCCATGATTGGAAGAGCAGCTCTGGCTGCGGCTGCTGTACTGTTGACTATGGGCTGACCCTCAGGAGATTCTCAGGCTCCACTGACCACCCAGTGACCCTACAAACTCCACATCCCTAGCTCTGCCAGCAGTGTCTGTGGGTCTGCTCTGTCCTCTGGCTTTGCTGTGTGGCCACCTTTGTGGGTTTGCATTCGTTCCACCCCAGGTTCTCGTCCTTCCTCAACCCCAGAACCACTCTGAGATCCCCAGGTTATGCATGGCTCAGACTGCCCCTAGGCTCCAGCCCAAGCATCTAGCCTCCTCTCAGCATCTCCGTGGAGGTATCCTGCAGGCCTGGAGTTGTGTTCATACTCAGCCTGTTTCCATCAGGGCAAAGGTGGGCATTAGTGTCATCCACTAGAGAGCCATGAGATGGCCTCAGCCCTGGAGAGAGCTTCCCACCCCAAGCTCTAGGTGCACATTAGGGTGCAGGTGAGAGCCAAGTGCCTTCCAGCCAGCTGACCCACAGCCCTTTGAGGGTGAGAACTTCATCTCCAGCCAGACCCTAGCTTTCTGTAGATAAGGGACACCTAAAACAGTGCTGCACTTAGGGCAGTGTGTGGACAGACCCCACAGTGAGGCTCACCCAACCCACGATCAGGGCCAAAACTGAGCTCTGGGGCAGAGCTCCTGCTCACAAATCTGGAAGTTGCCTCTCTGCAGCTGTCTAGGATGCTGTGTGGGTGGGTTGGAGACAGGCTGCAAGTGGGCACTGGACTTAGAGATAACAGAAGCCCCTTCCTTGGCAGTAAACACCAAGAGGGCCACGAGTTGTGGGGTCTGTCCACCTCTGGCTGCAGGGACTGGCACATGGCTGAGCACACTTTGGGTGGAACCCAACTGCACAGGTGCAAAGGATGCGGCTTATCCTCCGTCTGCCTGGCAGGCCTTCTGTAAAGAGCAGCAGTCTTGGCGCCTTGGAGCTGATGACCGACATGCACAGCAGGCACATCTGTGTTTTGGAGAAGAGACAGCATCTTCCAAAAAGAGTTTTAATCGATTTGATGGCTTCTCTGATTAAGGAATTATCTTGCACTTTAGAACTGGTTTCTGAAGCTTAAAACATCAAGCTGAATCCGCCTCCCTTTTGTCCCAGTGAAGTAAGAAAGCTGTGAGCAGATCTAAAGGGCACACAGAGCAATACTAACAATAGGTCAAAGCTGCGTCCACTTGCTCCCTGCAGCACAGGTGTCCCGTGCCAGGCGATTAGAGAGTAGTAAGAAATGTGTTATCATTCAGGGACTGAGGTGTGGCTTCTGAAGGGATGGTGTTTTGGACTGTCAGCTGGAGGACGAGGCAGGGTAGGGCTGTGTGCCAGCTCACCTTACATGAGCCCTTGGGTGGGAAGGAAGCTGTGGTGGGCCCTGTACACTCTCCTGGGGGCCAGCCAGAGCCCACATACTAGGAAGCTTGTGCAGAGTGTGCACCTTTTAGAGGTGTTGGTGCTGTTGCCTAGGATGTGACGAGGCAGCTCCTGTTGGGACCAGCAGGGCACCCCAGTGCCACAGTTGGGGGGAGCAATGAGGGGACATAAACTGACCATAATGCGAAGGCTACAGACCACTGCGTTGTGTTAGTGGCTCTGAAGGGGGTCAGAGTTGCGGCCCACCCAAACAACAGGTCCAGTTTCCTTGGTGGCAGGTCCTGAGTGGCAAGGAAGGTTTGCAAGCAGTCAAGCTTGACCTCTCCAAGAACTGAAGACACAACCCTCACGTGCCTTCTTCCCTCTCAGAGCTTATTGTTAGTGATGCACCCTGCGCCCAGTGGGTACATCTTCTCTGGTGCACCTGCAGGAAATCAGCACAGGTTCTGGAAATGGGTGAGCACAGGGAGGTGCACAGTGCTCTCCAGTACAGGAGAAGAGTCTTCTTCATGTCTGGTCCCGAGTTGGGGGCAGGAGCTAACCCTCTTCTCTTGTTGACAGTGGTCCTGCACTGAGCCGTGCTTGCTTTTGCTACGCGCTAATCTGTTCCGTGCCAGTTGCCACGTATCTCATCCTGGTGACGTCCCTGCGCTACCACTTATTCATATGGAGTGTGTTTTCTCCAAAGCTCCTCTATGAGGGTATGCATCTGCTCATCACAGCGGCCCTCTGTGCGCTCTTCACAGCTGCAGATCAGAACAACCGTGCAGGGCCAATACAGAGGTGGACACTGGAAATGGGCGGCTCTTAAAGTCTGCTGTCTGCCTTGTGGGTTTGAGTACTGAAGAATCTATTAGATGCAAGTTCCATCTAAAAAAAAGATGTGAACTTATGAAGTTGGTAAACCAGCTTCAGCTGTACTTGAATTTAGATTAAGGAGTAAGTACTTTAATAAAAGGTGACTTTAAAATACTACAGTGTGTATTGTGGTTTCCCTATTGCCAATCACTCCAGAAACTTGTGCACTTTTTAAGTTCCTCTGATGTTATGCATGTTATGATGTGTGTTTAAACTGATGAACAAAGATCCTGGAGTGTCCTCAGAGTGCCTAGGGCCCCTAGGCAGGGGGTTACCTGCTCCAGGAGCCACATTATGGCACCCAGGCCCCTGAACACTCCAAAGCCATGGACACCCAGGGGCATTGGCTTATGTGAGAGAAGTCCATCACTGCTGATAGCACTTTAAATGAACACTCTTCATAGAAATTGCTCCTTTAAAAATAATCTATTTTTGTTAATATAAGGATTCTTTTCTGGGGTTTTTGTACATATACCGACAAGGGAGTTTCATTATAAGTTACATCTTTGCGTAATTAGAGAAAAGTAGAGCTGCTTGTTAAATATCTGAAGCATTCTAAAAGAAACTGAATATAACATTTTCAAGAAAAATAATTATATTTTCCAAAAAATTTTTTTAAAAAATTAGCAAGTGTTTCAGTCAGCTTTTTTGCTGCTGTAACTAAGCACCCAACCAGAACAATAGTAGATGAAGAAAGTTTAAGAGGTCTCAATCCATAGACAACAGAATCCAGCAGGAGGCAGCTCACATAATCAGTAAGCAGAGGTACAAGATATACCAGATACACCACTCACCAGATACAAATGTCCACCCCAAAGCCATAGGCATGCCCACCTCCTTCAGCCACACCATAGCTGTCTTCAGTCAACAATCAATCCCACCAGAGAAGTAATTCACTCTTTGGGTTAACTCTCCAAATCCAATCACTTCAACAACCTGTTGTTTCCTCTCACGTGGGACAATGGGAGATACCTCACATCCAAACAATAACAGTAAGAAGGACATTTTAAACTTTTAAAAATCTGTCTTATATCTGATTCAGTTGAAGATACTGTCTTCCTCTTGTGAGGAGTTTACAGAGCAAGAAGCAAGAGAGCTGCACAGACCTAAGGATAGAGAAAATGAGAGCCTCAATGTCCTCCTCACACAGACCTGTGGATGGACAGCAGTGGAGTCAGTGTCCTCCTCACACAGACCTGTGATGGACAGCATGGAGTCAGTATCCTCCTCACACAGACCTGTGGATGGACAGCAGTGTGAGTCAGTGTCCTCCTCACACAGACCTGTGATGGACAGCAGTGGAGTCAGTGTCCTCCTCACACAGACCTGTGGATGGACAGCACTGGGAGTCAGTGTCCACACACAGAACTGTGGATGGACAGCAGTGGGAGTCAGTGTCATCCTCACACAGACCTGTGATGGACAGCAGTGGGAGTCAGTGTCATCCTCACACAGACCTGTGATGGACAGCAGTGGGAGTCAGTATCGTCCTCACACAGACCTGTGGATGGACAGCACTGGGAGTCAGTGTCCTCACACAGACCTGTGGATGGACAGCACTGGGAGTCAGTGTCCTCCTCACACAGACCTGTGATGGACAGCAGTGGAGTCAGTGTCCTCCTCACACAGACCTGTGATGGACAG